AAAGAGAGAGCGGACTTCGGTCAAAAAACACGCAAACGACTATTGCAAAATTTCCAGGTGTAAATTCAAATTGGCCAGGTGTTCTAAGAACGACTTTCCTCGACGGCGTCTGTTTTAATAATTTGCCCATTGTCTTGACTTATTCAAGACCAGATTGTTTAGGCAGAAAGCCTTGGGGTTGACAGGGAAGTATTTGGGAGAAATGTTCGGAGGCATTTGACAATCAACTGCTTTAATATACTAGCTGATTCACTGCCTGTGTCGACTCAACGAACGTCTCGCTGGGCTAACCTTAAGTTGTTCACTTCAACGTTTGAAACCGCAAGTGATGCAAACGCAGTTAGATAAATTGTCAGCCTGAACTAGCCTTATTTTACTCTCTCTGCAAAGATCAGCAAGGCATACATCGAAGTTTTCCCTTGTACTTCTTTGGAAAAGGTTTATTATTATAGCTGACGAAGACAAAGTATCGGTATATTACATGTAAACTTTTATCAAATCCCGTTGGAAGTACAGTTAATATTGCTAACCTTCGCTCATCCTTCAACGTTAATTTAAATTGAAAGGTTTCTCAAATACATTCAGTTTAATACTTCTTCGAAGAGATAAACAAAGTCATGGTTTTATACGCCACTGATTGAATGCCAGCTTTAAAATTACATTGCGAAATGTCGTACGAGTTAAATATTTGCACGATATTAACTCATGGGGCACTTCTGACCAATGGGAATTTTGCGTACGCTCCGTACGCATAAATCGACTTTTTACTAATAAAGGTCGCAGGCCGTTCCTCGTGCAGCCTCTGCCTGACAACGGCCTGCGAGCAGGCTAGCTTAAAACAGGCTCACTGATTCTAGCTGGATCATGGGGTTTCCTGTTCCGCGCGCAAAAAACCTCTACACCCAGGGCAGTTTACCGAAGGCAAAACTAAAAAATTGTAATTTTGTGAATAAAATTATTTAATACATGGGCATTGGCCAGATATAACCACATATACCTGATATAACTATTTCATGACTGTTGTCAATATTTAATTCTTTCCGTAATAACACACTTTGGCGAGACCGGCTAAACGGAGAGTTATGAAGTGGAGAGTTATCTTGGAGAGTTATGATTTCGGAGAGTTATGTTCGAACCACGCCCACTTTTCCCAACGACCACACCCAATTTCTTAACTCTCCCGATGTTTCCTTGAACTAACATGAGAGAGTTATGTTTGACGTAACTCTCTCTCGTTAACATTATGAAGATGTTAGAGAGTTATCATTTTTTATAACTCACTGCGTTCACGATTGTGGCAATGAAGAGAGTTATGTCAGTTTTTTGAAAAAAACTTCCACATTTTAGTAAATTATTCTGAATTTACTTTTTTCTCAAGCTTCAGCTTTAATATTCCACGCTTGTAGAAACTAGTAGTGCTTTAGTACTTACGAAGTGAAGCGAGTACGAGTAAATAAATTATTATACATGTTCACTTGGATTACCTACAAAGCCCAACATTCAGATACAGCTCTCGTATTAGATAGAACCAGAAAACCTTTCCAATGAAATGCCCTATATTGGCTGATATGGGAAATATTTGCAAAACCTGAATTTCTGAAAGATTCAATTTTCGCAATTTTTCAATTTTCTTGCAACTATGCTTACCGTCTTTACTGCCAAATACATGTCAAAACATGCTTCTGGGGGTACTTTGACCCTTCTGCGGCAAGCATCTCATTGTTTTGACCGAGTCAAGTTGTACTATTTCCTGTTTGGACCCACGCTATTGACACGCTACAAACTGAAATACCAAAATATAAGATGAAAATCTGAAGAAACAAGCTTTACTATTTTTAAAAAGGTTTTCTCAAAAAACTGACATAACTCTCTTCATTGCCACAATCGTGAACGCGGAGAGTTATAAAAAATGATAACTCTCTAACATTTTCATAATGTTAACGAGAGAGAGTTACGTCAAACATAACTCTCTCATGTTACTTCAAGGAAACGTCGGGAGAGTTACGAAATTGGGTGTGGTCATTGGGGAAAGTGGGCGTGGTTTGGGCGTGGTTCGACCATAACTCTCCGAAATCATAAAGCCCAGGTCACACTACACAACGATAACGATACGATAACTTGTATACGAGCGCTGATTGGTCAAAAATTTATCGTTATCGTCTAACGATAATTTTATCATTTTCGTTGTTGTGTGGACACTAACACAATTTTTTTGACAATTATCGCGTGTTTACAATTTATCGTATCGTTATCGTTGTGTAGTGTGACCGGGCCTTAACTCTCCGAGATAACTCTCCGGTTGGTAACTCTCCCTTTAGTCATACCCCACTTTGGCTGCTGTTTGCGTGAAGTTTGGCGACATTCCTAAGTGCTCTTGGGAGATAACCATGTTAAATTAAATTGAATACGTCACATCCACCAAATATCATATTGTTAAATGCGCATTCGTCCGAAAATTTTGAAAGATCGTTCCGCCTCTTCATGCTATTCACTGTCAAATTAAAATTGATTGAATGATTGACTCATTAATTGATTCATCGACGGATTAAATTATTGATTACTTATTTGAACGCCAATGTGAGCAACATGGTTTATCTGGCTTAAATTAAGAATCATGCATACAATTTTAATTTTGCTAACTCATGGGCGGTTTCCAACTTTAAATTAAGCACATGCACATATTTTCTTCCACTTTCGAATCACAGCATATATATCCTCTCGGTACGTTCCTAATGTTATTTTAGCAGTAAATTTACAAATAATTAATCTCAAATACAACGACAATAATGTTATTTTTTTGGAGTGCTACAATTTAGAACATGAATTAAAGATTTTTCAAGAATTCGACAGTGGAGCGGGGGGGGGGGGTCTACAGAATGTGATAGTTACTATACTGAGAGGCTATGTTTGTTCGGGTGACAAAATGTTTCGGCTGTGGTGTCGTATGTAATAGTAGAGGGTCTGGGGGCATTTTCCATCTCTAGGACTGCATTTCGTGCGTTTTTTTATACATATTTTAATTATTTTTGGATATACACCGTTCACATTATAATGTAGATAGACTCAAATATTGAATCTTCAGTCACGTACTTCCTTGGTATGTTTATCAAATCTCGGTTACTAACTTGTTTACACTTTAGTCTAGCCTTCCAACAACTCAAATCTATAGGGTCTGGTATATGCTATCCATGCACGGGAAAATGTTTAAAATCATTTGAAGATAAAAGACATATGACATAAGATCCCCGATGCAAAGTTCAGTTGCTAGAATATCAAACTTCCCTTCTAAATTCCATTTTTCTTCCAATGTTTTGTGGCTTATATATTTAGCCGAAAAGGGACTTTAACTGGGGGCACCATTGAGGCTGAGGGGGCTGTTGCCCGACCCAGTTATACTGTATAGTTAAACGTTAACATACGGCGTTCTAGCGGTTAGCACGAGACGGACTTGACCGATACGGGCTAGCAGAGTCGGGAAGTATGGCCTGATGAGGCACTTTTTCTTTTTAAAAATTCTATTACACTGACCTGAAAGGTCAAGTGTCTTAAATCTCTAATTTTCTGTTTTATTCTGTTTTTTTCCTGTTTTTTGGTCGTCGAGAAATCGAGTTTGCGTTAGCGCATCGCAGGCTCAGTTTCGAGTGTTCCAGTCGTTCCAGTTTACTATACAGATCAGTTTTCAAGATGGCGGCCATTCAATGAGTGACTATTTCAAGGTACGTTTACGCGCTGCGATTTGTCGGGCCGATTTTGCTCGCTGTATGTAAATAACCTGTCGTGAGTACTCGCGTCAGCGCCTTGCGATTCACAAAATCGGGAGAAAAATCTGTAACAAAACCACAGATTTTTCTCACGATTCAACGATTTTTCTTCCGTTATAAAGTTGTTGAAAACTTTTCGCACGCAGAAAACTATAACATGAACAGACGAGAGAGCGTACAGCTTCAATTGAACGTTTAAATCGCTAAATGTCGAAGAAGGGGCATCGATTATTTACCAAAATCGGCCCGACAAATCGCAGCGTGTAAACGTAGCTTCAGTCTCAAACAATTTCTTCATTTGTCAACGGATTTTACCGCGTTTTTCTGTGGATTTTGGATTTATCCTACTCTGCACTTTCTTGGAAGTTGACTTGGTGTTTTTTCTCGTGCAACGTCTCTGGAAATGCGATATCTGGATCGCTGAGTTTTTCGAATTTTATACGTTTAATACAGTCAATACAGACTCGCGGAATGTAAATAATAGGGCCATTTATACGGAACAAAATAAGACGCGACTTACATAGGACGCGACTTAAGTAAGACGCGAGTTTGTCGTATAAAAGGTACAAAATTCTTATGTAAGACGCGTCTTGGATAAAGCCCTGTTTAAACGGATCCAACATTGTTGGGCCAACATCATCCAACATTGTTGAAATAATGGCTCAAACGGCTTCTTTTTCAAATATTTTGTCAAGACTAGGTTTAGGGTTTGAGTAAAGCTTATCTAACCAAAAAGATTTGAAAGAGAAGCAGTCATATCTAGTATAGTAACATTGTTGGATGATGTTGGTCCAACAATGTTGGATCCGTTTAAACAGGCCTTAAGACGCGTCTTACATAAGAACAGGTCTTTTAGCTGTTCTTATTTAAGTCGCGTCTTAAAGAAAGAAATTTTGGACCAAAAGTCTAACTACACATGCCAGAAACTTGAAACAACGTAAAATTTAATGCCTTACATATTAAAACAAGAACAACCAAAACAACTTTATAGCTATAGCAAATAAATAAGACCAAAGCCGTAGAGAACCATTTATGCGATAACTCCACTTATTTAAGTCGCGTCTTATGTAAGTCGCGACTTATTTTGTCACGTATAAATGGCCCTAATGTTGTCTGCGTTAGCGCATCGCATGCTCATAGACCGTGTGCATGCATTTATGGATAACGTTTGTATCTAATAAAACACGACCTGCGAGCTGCCTCGTACCCAGACATCTCTTTAATATACTGATGAGGAAAAGGCGGCGCGCGAGAAAAAAGGCGGTGCGTGAGAAAAAAAGGCGGCGCGCGAGGGAGGGCGGGAAGGGGAAAGAAGCGGAGACTCCTCCTTCTTTCTTTCCCCTTCCCGCCCTCCCTCGCGCGCCGCCCTTCGCGCCGCTTTTTTTCTCGCGCCGCCTTTTCTGGCGAGCCAATTATTCTCTCGCCGCTTTTCCATCGATCTGCTTTGGCTTTTATTCTCTCGCCGCTTTTCCATCTGCTTTGGCTTTTCATCTACTTTCCTTTCGCGTTCGCGCTGTATTTAGAGACCAAGAGACGCCTGTGGAGGAGGCAGACCTGCGAGTTTAAACGGCTTCAAACACGACTACAAATTCAATAGATATACTACCTTATTAGTATTCTTATATAAAGAATACTAATTAGGAAAGTTTAAAGCCACTGCACGTGACATATTATGGTTGACATGATTTGCCAATAAGCTTATGAATTATTAATGAGTGTTTGAAATATGATTTAGCAGCTCTTCTTTGAACTTTCTCACTATTCCAAATTAATCCAATTGAATGACGACACTACTGATACTTGGATAGAATAGGCAAACTTGTCAATGGGCAAGCTTAAGATAAATTAAAGGGACCTTTTACCATCTATATATCAACGACTTCCATGGTAGACCGCCTAATCAAACCAAGTATTTTCTTTGTAACTGTTTTTTCCTAGTCAAGTGGATATTCAGTGGCGTAACAGAGGAAGAGGGCCGGGTGCCCTTTAATAGGCATATTTGGTGTGGGGGCCTGTTGACTGTTGTCATTGTTTGACTGAGATATTTATATTGAATATTTATAGAATGTTTTGGAAAATTCTGTGTTTATAACAATGACAATAACAGTCACCAACACATGTAACAACTTTTAAGAATAACTTTTGTTTTACTTGAGATGGAATAAAAAATCAGCTACCGTTGTCGATGGAGGCTTTATTATTTAGCATTATTAATTTTGCATTTTCCCATTGATTCTTCAACTGCATTTTTTACTGATACGTTTTCTAATTTTCTGGGCGATAGGCCGTGACTGTCGGGGGCCCTTAGTTTTTCACTATTTATTTATTTATTTATTTATTTAAAAGCTTTACCAAATATGGTAGGGCAACCGCAACAGCTTGAGGCCAATTACAGCGGTCCCAATAATATTACATAGATATCACTATAACTATATGGTATATATACATTATTATAAGATTAATTAAGTATGAGTATAGAAATATCTAGTTAAAAACAGCAGACAACCTCCCTTCGGAGACTACGAGCTGTGTTGCATTTGCAACAAATAGTTTTAAAAGTTCTAGGATCGTCTATATTAAAAGTATTCTTTAAAGCAGTAAAATAGTAAGTTAATAAAAATGATTTAAAAACGCTCACACTATCGCTAGAGGTGCTTGTTCTTATATCTTTAGCTAGAAGGTTCCATATGCGAGTGACTCTGATGGTATACGAGTGTTGATATGTAGTAGTTTTACATTTGGGAACATCATATTTTACGATATCAGTGTTCGTTGATCGCGTGCACCTGGTACTACGGAGATGAGGTAAAACAGATTGATTCAAGTTCACCAGGCCGTGGGTTGATTTGTAAAAAAATACAAGGTCTAAATATTCTTGCCAGTAGCATATAGGCAAGAGATTCAGTGACTGTAGCCTTGAACTATAATCTTCACAGCTGCTGAATGGTAGGTTTAAAATATATCTTGAGGCCCTTCGCTGGATTCGTTCGAGTTTTAATATGAGGTCGATGGATTGAGGTGCCCAGATTTGCGTAGCATAGCCAATGTGTGGGCGAACCAACGCAAGGTACATTGATTTCCTAATTGATGTACTAACCAATGAGCGTTACGCCCCTGTGGATATTCCTCGGCCTGGTCATGATCTCTTTCAGTATCAGATGAAAAGCCAGGCTAACTTTAATTTAACACAGCAACTTCCTTTATTTTTCATCCCGCCCGATCTTTGATGGAAACCCTTACGAATCAACGGATATTTTCTTCAAGAACAATTTCCTTTCGTTGGGGGAACATATACCCTGTCCTTGGTTCCAGAGGTTCTTGTGCTGCCGTATTAACCCAATAAATTTATGACCCTGAATATGCAAGAACATTTAAGTCTGTGTGTATTAAATGTCACACCACTCGCCCACTAATGAACTTATCAACTCGAACATGTTGCTAAATTTAGTTTTTGTTCGTTTGTTCGTCAATACGTTTGCTTTGTCTTCTTGTATTTGTGTTTTATTGTTATGTTTGCAGTTTAATTTCAAAATAATTAGATATACCATTAGTTGTTCTTTTTTGGAACCCCGTTATTGGAGAACTATCTCTGTGTGGAAATTCCAGTCACCGCAACCATATACTCTAGATCCATTGCAATGGCAAACTTGTAAAATATTATAAATAATAAATTACGTAAAACACGAGCGAGAATAGGGCGGAAGATACCAGAACCTCTGGCAACCAGGGTAGGGATCATATTGTCAAGAAGAAAACTGTTTTCTAACGAGCGTGTTTTCTAGTAACCCCTGCCCCATAGAAATAATAGCGGATACACAACAACGTTTCAACAACGTTCAAAATTTATTCAGTAAACGACGATTTCTGTATATATTCTGTTCAGAACTATTGCTTTTCGTAAAAAATCCCACTGGAATGGGTTTTTAGACACGTTTTTTTCTGTACAAAACTTTTTTTCCATTTTAAGTCTCGATATAAAATTTTTTGCAAACTTTGCAGTTGAAAAAACAATTCGCACTACCTGCAAGCGCGCGAAATTCCTTGCCTCAGGAGTCTGGGACCAACCAAAGCCCTTATAAATCCGCCATTTTGTGGAGACAATTTTTTTACTGAGAAAAGCACTGAAAATAGGAGTACGCATTCTA